GATCTGCTGCTATTGAGCCCCCAAGTCTTGCTCCAAATGGTCATGCAACTCATCGAGTGTTTCAAACACTGAACCGCAAATTGGGCAGTCAAGGTTGGCAGGAGCATCTGCTTGTGTGCCCACTGGACTGTTGGGCTTGAATAGATGCACTGACGTGTCGTCTTGTTGAAAAAAGGTTCGCAAAAACAGATCTACAAAACAAACATTGGTTGGTCACGACAAGCTGGAAGTCCAACCCAGGTGCGCTGTGCTTGTTTTGTCGCTGCATCGCGGCCTGATGAATGGCCAAAGCGCGCCGGGAGCCAAAGGTGCGAGCACACACTGAGCCATCTGGAAGCTGCATATCACAGGTGTGGACATCAGGGTCATCCAGAATTGCCAGCGGTTGCACATCATGTGGGGCCTGAAATCCAGGCGGTGGAATGGCCACAAAAACTGGCGTCGCAGAATGGTAAAATCAAGGCGCAAAAAAATCTTCTTTGACATCACCGAGAAATAAACGCAGAGGTTTGCCATCCACTGCTTGTGGAACAAATGCCGTGTCCGGGATGTCTCGGAGAGATTCCACATCGTCCACCAGTTGTTGAAGCCATGGGTGAGCTGTTCCGGTTAGGGAGCCATCTCGGCAATGTTTCTTACTCCAGATCACGACCACCTTCCAACCTCACTTTCGGAAATCAGGGCTTGTTGTGCCCTGCTTTTGGTGCCCTGCCTTCTTGTCAGGAAAAATGGTGTATGTACATGTAAGTTTTCTTTCTCACGCAGGTGCTTTCGTGATGCAACAAGCGATGCCGGATCTGGTTCGTCTCAGCATTCCGAATCCACAGGACCACCGGGTGAGGAGGTTCTCGCCGCTTCTCCGCTTCGGGGCAAGGGGCCTTTGTGCGAGAGCAATGCCAAAAGAATAGACATTTCACGATCTCCAATTCGAAAATGTCTTGGACACCGGTGCCACTCTATATCCGATGCCGGCCACAGCCGGGCTATGAAAGCATGATTGGGGGTTGCTATGAAACACCCTGCAGCCCAGCTCCAATTTTTTCTGCTACCCAAATGGCGTCGCGTCATCGAAGGGGTGGTTCCTCGATGTCACTCAAGCGGAGTTTGAATGGGGAACCGGGAACACACGTGTTGGAGAGGATAAAGATATGTATAACTTAACGAATTTTCAGACCTGAGTGACCTCTATTTTGGACCAGCAACCACCTAAAATCTGTGCTTTTCCTATCAAAACAGAGGTCAAAGGGGTTCTAGGTATTTATAATATACAACCTCCCCGTTGTGCTGGAGGAACATGGCCCAGTTCCCTCAAAATCCAACGGACAGATCACTGAAATACACGGGGAACATGGCTACTTCTCCCGCCGCGGACGCCGAGACGACCGGTTGAAACCACCAGGCGCCACGCCGCGGCCGAAGCACAAGTCTCCTGGGCCAAAGGACTGAGGATGAAGAGCTCGTCTTCCAACTGCGGAAGCTTAGCCTGGTGAACTGCAGAAGCCAGGAAGTGATGTTTCGGTATTTTTCCCTTATGGTTCAATGGCCCTTTTTTGCTGCTGAATATATATGTTTCTTTCCAGGTTCCTGGACAGCAAATCCAGGTCCAAGGCATGTGATCTTGATGATTCCCACCAGGGAGACTCATCCAGACGCGAGCCCTTTTCACGGCCCAGACTCATCCAATTCATCTTCCGTTGCGGTTTTGACTATGTGAACGCGAATACGTCTCCAGTCTGGAGCTTCCATGGCACATGGAAGTGGATGGTGCAGAAGTGGAAAATGACCCCGTTCGTAACAGTTCCGGAGGGGTCGTCTCCAGGACTGGCTCCCCTTCTGTAGTGAGTCAGACTCGACCAGGGCAGCTGAGTATGGGAGGCAGCCTAGTGGTGCTACCGAAGACCTCCTTGCTCTTAGGACACCACACTTGGAGTTGTATTTTGATGCCGTTGGGATGCCATTTTCATGCCTTCAGAAATATAAAGGTGTGCGCCTGGGAAAATTAACATGGAACCTGAAAACCATTGGGTTTGTAGTGGAAAATCGTCTTCCAAAAGGTCCATGTTCAGGTTCCATGTTAAGTTTCCCAGGTGTACATGTTTGGGCACTGCTTGGACACTTGCGGGCTGCGCAGGACGCTCGAAGGACGCTGCGGCCCGGGTGGCCGCCGTCCGGGTGGCTCAACGACCGGGGGGGTGCCACATGCAACGACAGGGCGGAACAAAAGCGGGAAGCACAGAACCAGGACCACACACCACTTGCGGACCCACTCCCACCCCAAGCCCTTCCACAGATATAGTCTACCAGATAGGATAGAATCCAGGACCAGAAGAAAGTTACCTGTCAAACCGGCCTGTTTTGGTGATTGATTGTTTTCCTGGGATGTCGGTAAACTGAGGTCACGAACTGAAGGTCCTGGAAGGTGGTTGTCAGTCTTATAATCCTGATCATTCACCAAAAATCATGGCTTTTCTGAAAAGCAGGTGTGTTGCTTTAGGCCACCGTCGCGGCCCCCCCAGGCCCGCTCGGTGGCACAGCGCGCCGTCCACTTTGAAGCCGTGCCGAGTGCTGTGGGGCAACAGGCGGCCGAGTCAGTCTGCCGGATGGCCCGCGCACGGAAAGCCTGGGCGGAGAGCCACCCATGTAGACCCTGGATGATACACCAGGAAGATAGAACATGCAAATGGACCTTTGGAAGACTATTTTCCTCTACAACCCATTCAGGTTCCATGTTAATTTTCCTGGATGATATTTGAGCCCGACCATTTCTCCTCTTGAAGCTTGGGGATTCAGCGCTGCTGTACTGGCTGCCCAGTTTTCACGCTGCAGATGCAAGGTCGAACATAAGGACGTGTGAACGCGAGAGGTAGAATAGGTTTTACCATATGTTTTGAGGGGATAATGGTTACCTTATGAAGTAAGGCAAATATTGCTATCCTCAATTCTTTGTGCGATTCAAATGGACCTTGAAAGCCACTGCAGTATTGGAGTGACAGGTCTTGGCCCCTGCGCTTTGCCAGAGGTCAGTGATGCCATTGCCCCACCTCAGCCCCACTGTTGGGGTGGCTTTGCTTTAGAAGTTGGAGTGACTGGAAAGGAAGAACCAGAGACCAAATCGAAGCTGGAGTGGACCATGGCTCCAGGCAAGCCTAAGCAGCGCTTCAGCTGCTTCTGCTGCTTCAGTCCACCGCACCATCTCGATCAGAAGCAACCAAACCTCCGGTGCCGGGCAGTGCCTGGGCTGACTGCACCAAGCAGACGGGCTGTTGACCGGTTTTTGATACACATTCAAGGTTAACAACTCCTACCAGGACCTTCAGTACGTGACCTCTTTGGAATCTGATTCGTGACCTCTTCAGGGACGATTTGTGACCTCAGCCACTGGGATCTCTTTCGTTCGGTCACGTACTGAAGGTCCTGGTAGGCCGGGTCTTAGGGTTGTAGAGTCGGGACTCAATCGTACGTAGGCGGCAAGTCTGGTACGAGGGCAGTTCTGTCTTGCAGGAAAGAGTTTTGGGATGTTTTGTGGAGGGGTCGGAGGCTTTGCATCATTCTGTTCGAACTTCCTGGGACCAGGGCTGTCCCCAAGAAAAACGCGCCCTCCGTCCGCATGGTCCGCATGGTCGTTGGAAAGGGTAAGGCTGAACGGTCAATGAACGTTGCAGGCTGCCGAAGCCACTGGGTCCAGACCCAAGCTCGGGGGAGGTGGAGGTTCATCACAGATGTGAGAGAGAAACACAGATGTCTCCAAAGGTGTGAGCTGTCAAACTGATTGGACACAGTTTTTTTTCTCTCAGATGTTTGCGAGTATTATTTGGAAGGAGCCCGAGGCATCATGAGGTCTTAATTTCTGGCGGCACGACGTCATAAACTCACTCAGAGTCCGAAGAAGACTGCATTTAGTTCTCGATGGGTGGAAGATCCTGTCCCTGTTGTGGCCTTTTGGAGGGATTTCAGGCGGGGAAGTTGCAATGTCAGAGAGCACTCAGAGGATGTGAGTTCCAGGTTATGTCAGTGACGTTGACAGTGCCACCGCCGCATCTCCGCGAAAAGCAGACTTTTGATTGACTTTAGTCAAGTCTCTGGGATGTATGTAGATGCGCTGTCCATCAAACAATGCCCTTCCTGGACATATAGCAAGTCCTTACTTAAGATGAGGAGTGTTCCTCAACATGATGAACCATTCAGCACATGGTTTTGCCGTCCGAGACCAGGCGAACTGAGTGGTCCTCCGATGTTCCAGAGACCTGAATAGGACGGAAAGCAAGACCCCTAAGACGGAGCCGCCCCACCCTCGTGCCGAAGCGTGGCATGCCCCTCTGCCCGCCCCTGGCGCAGCCGAGGCCCGGGCACCAGGAGTTGGCCGCGGTCGCCGCGGCGGAAGCCATGGCAAAGCTGGTGGCCGCGGGCTGAGTGAGGATGCGATTCCGCGGGCGCCATGCAGGGTCCACATCTTTGACCTAGTCCGGCACTCCAATCTTTCAAGATGTTGTGCAATAAGCTTTGTTCAACTAAGGATTGTTCATTGTGAACTAACATGAACTAACTTGTTTTGTAGGAATTGTCCTTCTTGCCTCCTGTACGACTATATAAAAGTTTGTTTCCCACCCCTTCACGTACCTAGGATGGCTCTAGCTCTGGGGCCGGACTGGTTCAAGAGGCTGCAAGAGGTGCGGGTGTCGGGCAGCCAAGTCAGCTTCAGGGATGGAGCTTGGCCTCAAGCCAAGACGATACTAGTAGCTAAGGGCATTTCCAGCAACAGGAAGCTACTAGTAACAAGTGCATTGCTACTAGTAGCAAGGACACTAGTAACCCTCATCCTGTACTTGTTGGAGGGGAAGTGGAAGATGGAACCAGCGTGGACCAGTCACACAAGTTTCAGGAAACTCGTGTATTTACTCCCGGATGGCTTCGGAGGCCACCATGGCCCCATGTCGTTTCAGAAGTCTTAAGCCCTCAACCCATCCAGAGTGGTCGATCCGCGTCTCGTGCGTCCACACCGCGGCTCAAGCGCGGTGGGCTCGGCGCAGCCGGTGACCGCCACGAGGGAGGGCTTGGCTTTCGCCGAGGATCTCCTCCACGGCGCCTGGGTCTGCAGATGTGGCCAAGTGATGGATGGTGGGGTCAGAGTTTCGGGCGATGGTGGAGGGCAAAGAGCCAAAAAAAAATGAAGAAACACATGCACAGGTTCAAGATGTTTCAACGGTTTTGATGCAAAGGGATCAGGTGTGCGAACCAGGTGACTACATATTGATGAGGTGGCTACGTCACAGAAGACATAGTTTTTACAAGAGAACTACTCCACTGCGAAGACAGAGCCATTTCATGGAAGCATAAATTTCAACTTTGTCCATCAACAGGCTGTTGAAAGATGACCATACATTAGCCATTCTTACCTCATGAGGAAAGCAAGGGAAATGCCTGTGCCCTACCTATCTCAACACTGTCTCTCACACCACTGTGGTTGTGATTGTTGGTCTTGTTCCTGTTGGTGGCCTTGTTCCTGTTTGTGCTGGAGTGAGCACAGATGTGTCCTGTCTCTCCTGCGCTTGATCGGCGACGGACCGCCGCGGACACGGACTCCACGGACTCCACGGACTCCACGGACCGCGAAGATGCTCGACCGAAGGCTTGAACCTGGAAACGTCTTCGGCAGAACTCGGTGCGTCGATTCCCATTGGGATTTCCTTCCAAAACCACGGACCACGTCGTTTGACATGATGGTGTGGTGCGTCGTTGGCTGACGTTCTCGTGGGAGTTCTCCAGTCAATGGGATTGTGCTTTCTCACAGGGACCGTCGCACTGGAACGCCGGGACCTCGCGTGAATGTCTGTTGATCCGGGCGTGGAGATCCGGAGTCACAAGGGGATGGTTTGTTGGTCCCTCTTGTAAGTGATAAACCTGCACCCCTATCCTCCAAGTTCGGCATCCCGTCTTGTGACTCCTGGCTATTGATAGGTGTTGGAAGGCGTGCCACTATCTATTTGGGGGCAACTATTCTACCGTTTGCTGGCACCACCATCCAGAGGCAAGATGACCATGATGGTCGTCTCGTACTTGCCTATCCCTGCAGGCGGGCGCTTTTCTGGGAACCCCCGCGCGACCTAGAACCGGACGCGGTAGTTCATGCGTTTCCCAGGCCCAACCACAGGAAGCGGATTGGAAGCGGATCGATCGGTGGATTCAGAACATTGCACAGTCGATGGGCCTTCAGTCGATGGGCTGTGATGCTTGCGTGGGTGTCTTCGCCCCGTGGGTCCAGGGGGGGACCAAAAACCGAATCTCCTGCTGTGTATGACATACGGTTTCAGAGTAGGCACAAACCCCTATGATATGTCTTTTTTAGATGGGGGTCCATATAAACCACCAAACTTGGGGATTGTGCTATCTACTCTGAAGCCATTGTAATCTGACTTTCTAACAATGCGGGTGAGTCTTTTCCTGGACGTTCCTCTACAAAAAGGTGAGTGTATTCCCCCTGTTAGGTTTGCCTCACTGGCCTCACTGGTCAATATCTCATGTCTCCCGTTCTTGCCAAGTTCAGCAGGTGCCTTCCAAGTTCAGCATGGGCCCATCGACCTACAGTTGAAGGACAGATCTGAAAAAGACCACCTTCAAAAGCAGGTGAACTTGGTGATGTTTGAGTCCATCAGTCCTCAACACCCGATGGGTCGCCAGGCCGCTCTGGGGGTGACTCCAAAGCATGTGAAAGGAAAGGCCAACCACTCCAGCAGTACGTTGCACCCCATTGACAGGGTGCGGAGCATTGCCCAAGGTTTATATAGGCGTCAAAACGTCAAAAAATCTCGGCACAGCACATGTCCGGGCCTCGTGTTTCGTGCATTTCATGCAGGCTGGGTGGAAGATGGACTAGAGGCACACTCCGCCGACGCGTTGTTCACGCGAACTCCGCCGACGCGTCGCGTGGGGTGAAAGCAGCGGCACTCATGGGCTGAACATGATGACAGGAGCAGGGATCGTTTGGACGCCACCCATCAAGTCAATGATGTCATTGGGCGCCACCTTGTTGAATGGGTGGGGCCCATGTACTGTACCTGTCCAGCCCATAACCTTTAAAAAGAAAGGGTGGATGTGCAAACCCGAGGTCTCAAATGCAAACCCGAGGTATTGACAATGTGAGTTTAGATGGTTTTGTTGCTTTTGACTCCAGAGCTCTTTCAGTTAGCGATCGGTGGCTACAAATCCTTGAGATTTGTGCCATGGCTGTTTGGGTGTTGCCTGGGTGACATCGATGAGCTGTTTGGCATTACAATATGCATGAACAATAACATCAACATGTGCAATATATGCACATTGGTCCGGTAAAGTTCAACACACTAGGGTATCACCCCGGCCTCACCAAATACTTACAGTCAATCCACTTGGCATATGCTGCTTGAAGATACCTGTCTAAAACACGGTGTAAAACAGGGCCTCTGGCCGTAACTTTCCGACTTAGTCGGGAGCCACGGCCAATAAAGTCTTCGTTCTGCTGGCAGCTTGTGCCAATTGGATTAAGAGCAACTCGGCCTTCCTCCCCAGCTTTGTGCAGATCAACCATCCAGTGGTGCAGGATATGTATCTTCGGCTGAAGAATGAAGTGGTTGCGTCCTTGATTCGCTGCATCTGCTGCTAAGTCTGCGTAGCGCCTGAGAAACTTCAAGCCGTTTTGGCCAATGTGCAAACTCTCTTGATGACTCAGAAAAAGATCACCCATATACATTCCACGTATTGCCGCTTGTATGGCGAAGCAAGCCTCCATCGCTTTCACTAGCAATGGCTCGTTGTCAAAGCGCTCATTCTTGAATCGCCACTCGACAAAGTCCATGAGGACAGTAGACAATGCACCTTTATGCCAACTGCCAGTTGGATAGTCTCGCAACGTGTTCCACTGTAGAAGCTCTTTCGAAAGCTTGAGGACATGACAACGGCGTTTGGTACGATTGCACCAACCACGGTACATGCCAGTCAATGCATCGAAGCGTTCCTCGATGTTGCCTTGTGGAAATTGCTCTGACATCAACGCCAAGACAGATCCCAGAAAATTCTTGGATACACCAAGATGCCAAGTATGAAACACATCGAAGTGAAACAAGGCGGGCAGTTTGCCCTGAGTGTGGGGTCCACGGATGAATGGACTTGGAACCTCAAAGGGATCTTCTTGATGAAGAGTCTGTATCCAAGACGGCCGCCGAGTGGCAATCTGCTCGAACTGTATGTCCACCTGTCCTGCTCTACACAGGTGGCATATGCCAGCTGGTAGCCGGCGCTGGGCAATTCGTTTCTGTATGTTGTTAAACGATCTCTTGAACTGGCCACTTTTGTGTAAAAATGGCCAATCGCCAGTAATGGCGAGCAAGACACCCCAATGAACTGTGCCAACATCATCCTGCACTCCGCTGTCAAACATGAACATGCTTTCCTGTGCAGCCTCCTCAAGAACTGATGTCCATACAAAAGCCTTCTTTTCTACATAGTCCTTTTTCCTCAATGCTGTAAAGAGAAAACGCGATGTATAGCTGTGTCCTTTGAAGTTTGGTTGCAACTTCAAATACCGCTTCAACGTCGGCTTCCGCCTCTTCCGTTTCTCAACACACACTCCTCGTCCCAGCATTGAGTAGAAGCTCAAAATCATAAATGGTGAATGCTTCCGTGACCGGCCCTCATCCCCGTGAAGGCACAGTGGAATGCACCGTTCAAGGCATAGTTCACCTCGAGCTTCTTTTGCAAACACATCGTGTTCCGGATCCCATGTTTTGTAAAGAGCCCAGAAGCGGCGCAAAATCGCCCGTTCTCTCTTCACATCTGGCCTCATCAGCCCAGTCATGATGTGAAGGCAGTTGTTTCCAAGCATGTACTGAAACCAAGAGCGCAGCTTCAAGACGGGGATGTCAACTTCCGGATCCTTTGTGGTCAATCTAGATCTTTCGATACCCAAAGCTAAACCGTACTTCTTCACCAGGACTCGGTGAGTATCGCGCTCTGAGTGCGTATCATTGCAACGTGCTATGTCTAGGAGGCCCCCTGAAGAGGCTGCTGCAGTTTCACCTATGTCTGCAACCACCTCCCGCGCCGTGCTGATAGCTGCCGCGCAGGATGCCTAAGCCGGGTTCGGAAGCAACGTTAACAAGTAACTGGCTGGACAGGTACATAGTGCAACACATTATATACATGCCCATGATTCCAAATGAAAAGAGGCAGTGTTCTCTCATCAGGTTTCTAAAGCATTCCACTCTAAAGTAACATCAAGTGCTACAGCAGTCGCAAGGTGTCCCTTTTCACAATTGAAGCGCCATTCCGGTGTACTGCATCATTCGATCAGCTCACATTGACAGCTTTGCGCCGCATTGGCTTGATCGGAGGTGGATACTTGAAGCTCCTGTATACTACATAAGTGCTGAAAGCTTCATTCCCCGATGTGAGGGATGGCTTCACTGTATCGCCACCAGATTTGATGTTTCTGCAGCCAGGATGGCCTCAAACAAAGAATGGAGGCCATCAAGTAAAGGCAAGTCATCCACACAAACTGATATCTTAAAACAATTTAACAACAGCGTTCGTGAACACACAAACCCACCCTAACTTTTAAAGGTTGAAAGTTTTGTTGATAGTCATGCCCAGTGACTTCGATACAAGTCAATCAGCGTGGCTTCCAGCATCGCAGGACTGTAGGGTTCATTGGTCTCAAAGAGCACAACCATGTTCGACCATTTGTCAGAAGCATGTTGATATCCATAGAGTGAGTTTCCCCACCGCCAAGCAACATTGTGGGTAAAACCGACTTTCCAAATCATAGGCGAATGCTTTGCAAACAAATCTTCCAGAACAATCTTGGAGTGCCGAAGGATCGCACCGGCTGTCAACCCTGCTTTGGGAATCTTGAACTCAATGGATGCGAAACTATTACAAAGTGATGAAGTCAGACTTGTACACTGCATGATAGTCTCACCAGCTATGTTCTTTGTTGTCCCGATTGGTTCCAGAAGGGCGCCATCTTGATCCTTAAGACTGACAGTTGAACCATCCAAGTCATTCGGAGCTGCTTGCAATGGCGTTGGTCGATTCCAAGGAAATGGCAGACACTTGTCCTGACAGGGTTTGGGAATCAATTCGATCAACAATGAATAAACTGACCGATACACATTTTTGAGTCGGGAGTTTCGGGAGTTCGAATTAACAAAGTCAAAACGATGAAACATAAAGGCAAACAAGATTCTGAGCGGTGACATGTAAACAAATCCCAGAGCTCTTCGTCAGCGCTTTCAGCTGGCATGGGCCCAGGCTTAAAGCGGTGAATCTCTAACAGCCATCTTGATCCTTCAAAGGCTATCCCGAATCAAGGTAAAAGTTTTTTTGTGTACCACTTCGGATGCTGATACGCTGACTTGAGGATGATTGTTCACCAAGGCTTGGACACCTTCGCCAATGCGGTTGGAGATTCCTCGTACAGCTTGTCCAGGCCGAGCACCTGGCATGTGGTGGACTGGAAACTGAAGACGAAAACCATATAGGTCTCCAATTCGTTAGACGTCGCATATGTTTTCATCTCTTGCGCACACAACTCCCAATGAACCCTGATTGCTGGATGCATGGTGCAAACTGCAGTGAGAACCCCGAATATCTAAGAGCGCAGATTTCTACTGCAAAGCTCTCATGTAATTGCTCGCTTTGTAAGACTTCTTCATGTTTTTGCAGCAGGGATTTTGGAGTTGGTATTGTGGAAACACACAGGCGGACACCATATATATTTCATGCACATCATAGAACAAAAACAAGTTGGCTACCAAAGTTCAAAGCGAGACCTGTGGAAATTAGCCACAGTCACGAACTTGCATATCATATTGCGCACGTTTGCACAACCCAGCAAGGCAAAAATTAATCAAAGCTCAAGTCTACTTTGCAGCGGCCTTTGCCTTTGCTGACTTGCCACCAGCCGGAGCGTTCTTGTGGCGTTTGTTTTTTTTAGCTCCTTTAGCAGAAGTACCACCATTACCATTACCTGCAGAATTATCACCCTGCTCCTCACTCTTCTTCTTGGCAAAGAACTTCTTGTTGGTCCTGCAGGGCCAATCCATGCAATTGATGTTTATAATGCATGTGCATATACAAAACAGCTAAAAGATGCTAAAAGCACAAAGACCGAGCCGATCAACAATATGTTTCCAAGATGTGTCATGATTGAAAGGTTATATACAATTCCCCAGAGTGCTATGACCATATCATGTCGATTGGCTTTGCGCAGGCGGTCCTTGCTTTCAACTCGGCGGAGGCTGCCTTGCTACACCTGATCAGCGACAAGCGTTCGAAGCTTGGCATGGGTTTATATCAGTGGAGTGGGGCCCATACGCAATGCTGGCTTTCTTCATGGCACTCTCGGACTGCTTGTAGAACCTTGTCATGCGAATTTGGGGCAACGCCTTTAGAGTGATAGCAACTGTTGGTCTTGATCGAGATTAAATTGCCTAAGTTGTGCACTCCTCGGTAAAGAAACCTTCACTTTCCCCAGTGCACCACGCTGCGCTGCAAACATCATACTGCTTGTCAATGTTGGCAATCTCATCCTTCAGGATCTGAATGTACCTGGGCATGGACTGGGTGGAAGCGCTGGAGATCTTTAGGTGGATTGGAAAGACTCTTGACTCAAAAAGGTGCAAAACCTACGATTTGAAACAGGAAACGCTATCGCTTGCGGATCATCGAACTTGGTTTCAATCTCGCGAATCAGTGATCGCAATTTCCCGCTTTTTGCCATCATTGAATCTAAGACTTTGCGCAAGGCTTCTTTCGACTAACAGGGTTTGAACAAAAACACATACTTCATTGGTACAACGGATGGTGGTATAACAACAACTTCAAGCCCATGCATGAAAACATAT